TCCTGATCATCAGAATGCTGCAGTCTCCCCTTGAGTTGACAGTTCTGGACGTGTGAGACTGCATCATTAATATTTTGAGACATCCACTTATTTGGTGTGAAGAGGGACATGTTTGCATTCTCCAAGTAACTGCTAATAATGAACTTATGGACATTTCATGGCTCATAGTGATTGAATTTCTTGCCATCCTGTGTAGAAACTGCAGGGCTCAGGACCACTGATCCTGACGGAGGAGGAGCGTCGTACGTTGGTGGCTGAAGGTTACCCAGTTCCCACCAAACTGCCGCTCACCAAAGCCGAAGAAAAGGCGCTGAAGAAGATCCGCAGGAAAATCAAAAACAAGGTATGACTGCCTCACTTAATAACACTTGATGCCAAACTAGTTGTCTGTGTCAATCCCTTTATTTGAATCTAGATTTATGTCAATAATGTGTTGGCATAAATCAGCTGCAGTAATGAAATATTGTTTTAGAGCCTTCCTGTTTCTATGAAAATACTCCTGCGCACTGTCAGTACTCGCAGTCAAATATGCTGTGAGTTAAACATGAGATAGAAATATTCAGACGACGACTGAAATAGTGTCCATCAAGTATTCACAAACATTCATCTTCTGTATGTACTTGCTTTATTTCCCAGAAAAAAAAACTAAATTATTGTAAGAAATGTTTTAAAAAGTCTCCGTCTTGAGTCCATCAGCACTTTCAGTCCAAAGTATCAGTAAAGGTTCTTTTTAATCCCACATATAAACACAAATAAAGGCCTAAACAGCTTGTGTGCTTGTCTTTTTTTCTAATGATGTTCCCTTTCCTTTCACCTCAGATCTCAGCTCAGGAGAGTCGTCGGAAGAAGAAGGAGTACATGGACACTTTGGAGAAGAAGTGAGTTCTGCTTCTCGTTCTTCAGTCACATTGGAGACACTAGAATATATAAATGTGTGCTGCGCACACACTCAAGTACATGTTAACTCACTTCTGCTGAGGGGTGGCGTGGTTCATTCTGAGCATGCTCATGTTTTGGACAACTCTTCACCATCTCCTGTTTGAGCTAACCTTGAGTCAGAGATGTTATCGTGGAGTGTGCAGAATAAATGCAGCAGATGTTGCAAAGAAAATCAGTTGGTTCAAATGAATGTATTATGTAACAGCTGATGGACATGTTCAGCCGCTGACCTTGCAGTGCTCCTGTCTGACCACAGGGTGGAGACCTGCTCCAATGAAAACAATGAACTACGCAGGAAAGTTGAGACTCTGGAGTGTACAAACAAGTAAGCATAATCTCCACACTCTAACTGTAAAATACTTAATAGCTAAAACTTCTACTTTCCTACATGCAGGGACTAATCGGTGCACAAATATACTATTACAAATGCAGTAAAATGGGATGTTCTCTGATAAAAAATGGTTAACTGTCTTTTTTTTAAATCACAAAACCTCCTGTGCTCTAAGATCAGTTTTTCTGTTGCTCATATCTGTCTTGTTAATTGCATGCTTTTGACTGCCCCTCCCTGTTGGTAATCAGACTAGCTACAGCAGATTGAACCAAGTCATAACAAAGCTGATGATTCACCTGATCCTTGAATTGATCACAAGTGGAACTGTTTATGGATTCAGTCTCTGACACAGATGAATGAGCTTCAGCATGTTTGACTCCTGTCAGTCACAAGGATTCAAGGATATGAGAATCAAAAGGCAATGAAGGAGGAAGGGGGGTCCAGACCTCTGTAGCTGTGTGCCTGCCTCCAAACATCCTCCCTTGCTTTTGACAATCCTTTAAAGGCATTTGTGTTGATTACACACACACGGTGCGGCTGAGAGGAGCAGATGTGTTGGGAAACACTGACTGAATTTTGTTATTTGCAAATAACACTGAATCAAAAGCTCCCTGTGGATCTGTTCAGCAGCAGTTTTGCATCCATGCATAATCATGGGGCTATTTTGATGTAAAACGCTCAAGCTGCTTCCAGCAAGCTGTGTTGTTTGTTCTAGTTATGCCTGGATGAACTACATGTGTGTGGTACAGCGTGTTAAGTATAGCTGAGCGGAACACAGCTGTTTTTTTTTGGTCTTGTTTCGTACTCAGTGGTTTAAGTGGGCTGTATCATCAATGTCTAAAAGTTAAATGAACCATTTGCATGTGGGTGAGCGTGTGTGTGTGTTTGCGCTGGTGCACCTGGACATTGTGTTGTGCTGTTGGAGGCTTCAGATGTCTAACAGAACAAAACCTCAATGGAATATCTGACAAATTCTGAATAAGAGACACTGATGCTGAGCAAACAACAGTAAATTAGTACTTGTTTATGCACAGCATTTTAATTACATTTTAATTGTAGTATATACGGCATAAAAGATGGTGGTGTATAGTGGTAGAAAATGCAGAGGCTTACCGAGGGTGGATTCCCAACCAGGCACAGCAGGCAACTGCCGAGAGGCCCCAAAACCTGGGTTTACTACTTATGATTTGGGTCATCACAGTTTGATTAATGGTAAAATTGTCAAAAGGTTGCACAGCTGAAATAAAAAATCAGCTCATTCTTGATATTTTTTGTTGTTATTGTTCAGTAATTAACACTGAAAACTCTGGCAATATTTTCATTACGAGTCTGACAACAACCTTCGTTAATAATCTATTGATTTTTCAGTGAACAAAGTGGAAAAAATACTGAAATATGCTCATTATTTTTCCCGGAATTGCAAGTTAACAAACTCAAATGACCTTTTCCCTGACAATGAGACAAAAATGAATTAAGTTAATTTTCTTGAGACATAAATGTTACTTTTTTAGAACTTTGGAGGCGGAAGGTTTTCTTTTTATGACCAACCCTCTTAGCTCTCAATTTAGAGGGTCATCAGGTGACCTGCGGCCTCACTGCCGGTTCAAATGCATTGACAACGCTAAGAAAATATCTGCACTGGTTTTCAAAAGCACAGCCCCCAGAATATTCAGTTGATGGTGACATTTCAAAGTTTTCATTCACATTCAGTTGTCATGCTATGCCATTCCATGTCTGTGTGCATCTGTGGAACTTAGTGTGTGTTTGTGTGTCTGACCTTTGTGTGTGTGTTTGTGTGCTCCTCCCCAGGTCTCTGCTGCAGCAGCTGCAGGCTCTGCAGGCGGTGGTGGCAGGAAAAGTTCCTAAGTCCTGCAGGGTTGCTGGCACCCAGACGTCATCATGCTTAATGGTAGTGTGTGTGTGTGTGTGCGCGCCTTTGTATTACTTACATTATGGGGACTGAAACCTATTGAATTTTAGGGTGGCAACATGATTTAAGGTCAAGGTCAGGGTCAAGGAAGTACTGGTTATAGTAAAGGTTAGGATAAGTCTACAGGACATGAATGTAAGTCAGTGTAAAGTCCCCACAAGGAATGAAAACACAGTGTGCATGCATGCGTGTGTGTGTGTGGGGGGGGGGGGCTCTGAGAAAGGGATTCCCTGTTGCTCTGTGAGGACTAAAATTCAGTCGCCTTAGGGATGTGTAATTTTTTGTTCACATTCAGTTGTCATGCTATGCCATTCCATGTCTGTGTGCATCTGTGGAACTTAGTGTGTGTTTGTGTGTCTGACCTTTGTGTGTGTGTTTGTGTGCTCCTCCCCAGGTCTCTGCTGCAGCAGCTGCAGGCTCTGCAGGCGGTGGTGGCAGGAAAAGTTCCTAAGTCCTGCAGGGTTGCTGGCACCCAGACGTCATCATGCTTAATGGTAGTGTGTGTGTGTGTGTGCGCGCCTTTGTATTACTTACATTATGGGGACATAAACCTGTTAACACGCTCACATTGTGGGGACTTGGCCATTACTGAATTTTAGGGTGGCAACATGGTTTAAGGCTAAAGCTTGGCAAGTAGTGGTTATGGTTAAGGTTAGAATGAGTCTACAGGAAATGAATGTAAGTCAATGTGAAGTCCTCACAAGAAATGAAAACACAGTGTGTGTGTGTGTGTGCTTGCGCGCACCGACAGGTGACTGTAGTGAAGAAACATTGATTAAAATATTGAATTGCTTCCATCTGCTTCCATCACTCATTAGCAGCTGAGCATTTTGTATCATTTATAATTGATTTACTCTCTCTCCCTTTCTTTTTTCCACCACCCTTCCTCTCTCTGTCTCTCTCGGCTCCACCCTTCCTCTCTCTGTCTGTAGGTGGTTGTGTTGTGTTTCGCTCTGTTTCTGGGGAGTTTTTACCCCAGCAGTCTGACTCCCTGTTCCGCCGTCAGTGACACAGGCCTTGTTTCTAAACGGCTGCCTGTCAAAGAGTCGTACACAACCACAGGTAGCGATGCTCACACACTTACTGTACATATATACCTACTGTACCATATTATAGCTCAAGCACTCACTCCAACATTATAGAGTTCAGCTTATTTTGTGCCTTCAGCTTGAATGTGTTGTTTCACTCTCATCAGTGTCTCAGTGCTGTTTTCAGAAGAAGAGTAAGAATCACCTTTAATGGCCAAGTATGTTTGAGCATACAAAGAATATGACTCCGGTGTTTCAACAGCAAAGCTCTAAAAAGTGACACACAGTTTGTACACATCCTGTGAAACAGACAAAGTTAGCAACTAGCTAGAGAGCACAGCATTTAGCAGCTAAATGTTTCTCCTCAGGAGCTGGTGGAGGCCAAAAACAGAGCTGTCAGAAAGTGAATACTGGACTTAACCTCCGCCAGGCCAATACAAAGACAACTTCAGATGAACGCTATTGTTGCTCTGTCACAGATGTGTAACTAAGCAGCTGTTCAGCTTAACTTCAGAAAACCTCAGTACTAACAGTAGCACCTGGTGTGAAAAAGACTTACAGCACAAATAGAAATGATCACCGCTGAGAGTTGTGTGTTACTGGAAACAGACACACTTTTATACAGCTTGCAGCTAAACTGACATGTCCTGTTGTTCCCATTGTAATGAATCATTAGCTCTTGGCTGTAAAACTGTGGAGCTCCATCACAACATTGCCAATAATCAGATTCCACCTACAGCGCTGCCATAACGGCTACGGAGACTAATTAGAAGAGTTGACCTTTCACTGCATCCGCTCTACTACCTCCCACACGCACATACTTGTTCGTAACAGAGACCAGATATAATTTTCTTAACAATCAAATTCAATTTCCTGTCCCATGCTGCCCACACATACACACACACACACACACACACACACACACACACACACAAACTGACACTTTTTCAACAGGCACACAGCAACGTGGTGGTAGAATGTGATGAAGTTGGGTATTGATAAACACATCTTGTGACACTGAACGTGTGCAGTCTGACTAGTTTTTAAAACTTGATTATCCAGTTAAAGAAGATGTGGTTTGATAAAAAACAATAATGCATTTTAAAAGGTAAATATAAATTAAAAATCAATACTCACAATCTTTTATCAAGCAGTAGCTTTATATTTTGAAGTAACATTTAACAAAAACATGTTCACATCAATGTCCAAAGAAGATAAATATAAACAAATAAATGCACTGCATTATAGTTTTCATGCTTTAAGACATTTTGTATTAATAGCAAATCATATTAAGAAATACATACATTGGGGTGAATAAGGAAAATATAAATGCATGGAAAAAATTAAATAAATGATCCAGTTTCCATGTGGGTTCCCATATTGTTGTATTATGTTTAAATCACAGCCTCTGTTCACTGATGTTAACATACAGAGGAAGAAACAGCAAAATATGAAACATCTAGTTCCCTACAACCTCAAATCAGAAAAAGTTGGGACAGTATGTAAAATCAAAATTAAAACCAAAAATAGTGATGTGTGAACCATCTGTGTCCTGTATCATGTTGAAAACAGTACAGCAGCACATTATTTGATGTGACACCTCATCAGTTTTATTCTTTGTTCAACATAAACACTTCAATCCTGATGCTGCAACACATAAATCAGACAACTGCAATCGACCACGTTATACTTCCCCACCTACTATTATCACATTACATCATTAAAATCTGCATTCTCCATAAATTGTATAAAAGGACCCCATGTTCTCTTGAAAGTAGAACGTACAAAATATGAGTATTTAGCCACATTCAGTCAGGTAAAATTGCTGGGAACGCAACTCAGGCTTTGTTCAGCCTAGACATGAAATGGCAGCCAACACCTGGGCAGGGGTGCATTTCTGAAACAGGCTCTTCATGTCAAAAAGCCAAACCGATAACAATTCTGGTTGTTGCTCTTTCTTTGTCCGACTCTCACTGTACAATAAAACACCTCTTCACAACGGCAGCCAGCAGTACAGGCTTTTAGCTGCCCAGAGCTCCTCCATCGCTGTTTGACATGAGTATTTGCAGATGGAAAAACCCTTCTTCTAACCTTGGCTAGGTGGTGGGCGGGGCTAATTTATAGACTGTACTTTGACAACACAGGGTGGAGAAGCTGGAATAACAACAAAAGAGCTGTAGTTTAGCAGAGTGTCATGGAGGGGGCGGTATAGCTGAGAGACACCACGTCCGGTCCCACTGTCACTGGGTTTATCAGGCTGTGTGGGGATTCTTAGTTAATGTACCTTTAGCTTTATTGCACAGTGAAACAGGGACCCTCCTCCTGCCCACAGCAGGGATAGCACTGTGAAACTTGTTCAGTTTTTGTGCCGTCACATGCGTCCTCATCATCCAATTATACCACAGTAATTTGAGTTTGGTGCACTTCACTAGCCAGTCATCAGTACAAATGTTCACTAATGCCTTCTCTCACATTACCGGTACAATCTTTGAATTCTTTCCTCAACTCTTTCAGTGAAGTCGAGGAGTCTGTTGTCAACTGTCGAAGATGAGCAGCCTCTTCTCCTCGGTCTGGGCGGAGAATACCCCGATCAACGGGAGGACACGCCAACTGTCGTCATGGCAGCGTGGCGTCGCTCAGAGCAACAGAAACTGGTTGTGGAGCCCAGCACGGTGGAAACACACCCTCCTTTCAGGAGTAAAAACAACGACACACAACCACAGAAAAAACTTCTGCTGGACCTGCACAGGTAAAACACACAACATGGTAGCCTGGGATGTATTCTCCAGCAGACAGGAAGTGATGTGGTTTACATTTACAGTTATTAGAATTAACAGAAGGAAAAAAAATAAAACACAGATACATGCAGATGTGTCAGTGTGGCTGCCATGTTGGTACAGGGAAGCTCTGCCTCCTAATGCATGTGTGTATGAAGGCAAAATCATCATAACTCACTGAGTTTACAATGGATTTTTTGGCAGTTTGGCTTGTTTCAAATGTCAGCATGTATTTATGATACAGGATACTTGGTTAAATATATGCAAACATATTTTGTACATAGCACTTTGCCCCAGCTTCTGTCTCTCAGGATTTACCTACCAATGTAGTCACAGTAATAACCTTGAAACTCTGTGACTGTTTCTAAACCCAGACATTTTACAACACTCACAAAAATTCAGAAGGTATTTCCCGAATCTTCATACACTCTTCAAACTGTCCAGATTCAAAAATAACCCAGTCCAGTCCAGGAAAATATCAATTTTAGTCTGTTTCTTGGGTATGACAATTTCTTCTCCACATAAACAAAGATGGCAACAGGACAAATTTGACTGGGGAAGTGCTCTTGAAGTGAAGGACAATGTTATAGCTAAGGAACAGACAGGACCCAAATATGTAGATCCAGGCAGAGGAACTAGTGTTTAGGAGAAAATTTAATAAAAAAAAAATACTGAACACAAAGTCAGAGGAAAAAATAAGAGGAGCTCAACCTGGTGAGTGTAACAAAAACATCGACAGGACTATAACAACAGTTCAGTCAGGGAGCAGGATTAAACAAAATCAAGAGCATATAACTCAAACAAACCTGAGGAAACAAAATAGAGCAGGCAAGTCCAGAGTCCGAATAAAAACAGTGCAAGGGTTGCAAGGTAGGAAATAAAACGGAAGACAAATTCAGGCCACAGGAACAAGGCAAACAGGCAGGGTGTAGTGACAGAAGGAAAGGAGTAGATTATATGGGCAGACCAGGGGACCAGGGGATAACGAGCAGCAAGTAGAAAAAATGAGTGGTGGTTAGAAACCAAGGTAAAACTGGGGCAGGTGCAGTGACACAGGGAACAGGAAATCAGACCAAAATGAGAGCACAAGACAGGAAGTCCAAACCATAACAGACAGGGGATCACAGGCCTGACAGACTCTCCCAGAAAATCTAATGACAAAATGTCACCAGAATCACCACGGAGCTGAATCGCCACCTCCATGGCACAGAGCTGATGATGTTATCACTGTTTTACATCAACGCACATCTGTTTGTGTGTCAGGTCTCTGGAGCAGAGGGCAAATGAGAGCGGAAGAAAAGTGATAGAGCTGGACCGAACGGTCAACGAGACCTCCTGAGGTCGACAGCAACACCTCCCTCGCTTACAACCCCCATCATGACCTTTGACCTTCTCCCTCTACTGCATGCTTCAGTGTCCTGGAGCAAACCTCATGCGGTGGTTCCCACTGCTGATTGGTTTATAGTGTTTCTGCCATTTCTGCTCAATCAGATGCACTGTAATAGTAATAATTAATAATAAAGGGGCACTGGTTGCCTTAATTTCTGAATAAAGGTTGCACTGAATAGTTTATACAAATCAAATGATCTGTTGTTTTAATTGTCACCTTTGAAAAATCACAAACATTTAAATTCAGACAGATCAAGTGAATAATGTAGTGGGGCAGTGGAACGGATATTAAAATATGACGTGAGGCTTCTTACAGGACACTGACGTCAGCTTTTGTATTTATAGAGACCTTATTTGTTTTTCTTCGTAGTTTTGTTTCTTTTAATATTAAATGTTTTATTTTATTCCAGTGTTGCGTACATCCCATTTTGATACTTGTTTGTGCTCATATTGTATTTTGTGTTTTTTTTTTCGCTGTATATTGTACTCTTTTATATATTGCTCATATTTTTTTCATCTGACTCAAAATTTTATGCTTATTTGGAAAATCTGAGAAGTTTCTAAATGACTTGAATGAATGAATGAATGTCTAAAAGTTCATAAATTGGCTGCAAAATAAGACATTTAGTTTTGATGCAGATAGTGCAGGACAACTGACTTCATGTAGCTATATATGAACACACCTATAATGTCTACGGGTGGGATGATGCACCTGCAACAGACAAATCTCCCAGTTATTCTCAGAAATAAATTAATATACAGTTGCAGTTAATGTTTGCTAGCTATGCTTCAGACGTTTGGACTTAGTGGTGCATAATAATCACTATGTTCCAGTCAGGAGTCAATGTTTGAGACTTTTTTTTCCTGCAAAATGACTAAAGTTTTGTTCATAAAATGCTTTTTTTCAGCAAGTAGCAAACTACAAACCAAAGCAACAATGATGCATTACATGATGTTGCCTTGCCTTTAAGTAAAAGTTTGACATTTTGGGAAATACTCTTGTTTTCTTTCTTGCCCAGAGTAGGACGAGAAGATTGATACTGCCCTCATGTCTGCATGATAAATATGAAACTACAGCCAAAAGATGGTTAGCTTAGCCTAGCATACAACTTGAAAATGGAGAGAAACAGCTGGCCTGGTTCTGTCTAACTATGCGTGGCTACTAGCAGCTCTACAACTCACTACTGAGATATAATGTGTTAGTAAGCTTTAGAGGTGTAGGCAAATGTTTTTATATTTGGGCAGAGCCAGGCTGCTTTGTTTCTCCTGTTTCCAGTTGTTATGCTAAGCTAAGCTAACTATCTTAGCTTTATAGCCCATTTACTGTACTAACATGAGGGTAGTATCAGTCTTATCCTATTCTGGGCAAGAAAGCATATAAGAATATTTTCCAACTGTCCAACATATGTTAAAATGAACCACATATTTCACTGTAGTTATTTTTGGTCTTTAATTTCCACTTGCACACTGTCCCCTGCAAGAGTCTTTATTTGCTGTTCTTTAAGCATTTGCCAAAAATATTTCTACTCAGAAATGAAAAAGTATCTATTTTTGTAAATATGAGTTAATAATGAAAGGAAGTCTAAGTGTGCTTGGGATGTGTAGTTTACAAACCAATCCATAATTCATTCTGAGTCTATTTTAGATGTGCTGTTGTTAATAAATTATGAACATATGATGCCTTAACTTAAGGTGTCGTCCAGACTTTCTAGTGGGTTTCATTTGTTCATTACAGAAGATGTCTTTAAAAATCTTATCTGTACATAAATGGGTTTTAAAATTTGGGAACTTTATTGAAACATGTTCTTTCATATGTTTACAGACCAAATGTAAAGCCACTCTCAAAATTAAAGTGAATTAAGCTCTGAATTGTGGCAGATTGTGTTACAGTTGAGGGTGAGCTTTGTAGGCTAGTGGCTATATTATTATTGTATCTTTGCGTTGAGAAGCCAAGACTCCAATACATTCCCCAGTGCTGAGACTACAAAGGAGGCATCACAGTCTGGTTATCTCAGACTGTGGAGAGTGTTGTTCCAAATCAGACTTAATTTCTATGTTACTTCCGTGTAAAACCAGCCTGGCATAGGTTTTCTGTCTTTTTGCTTTGAAATAAAGTATTTTCCTTAGTAAAAGCATACCTCCTGTGACTGTGTGTGCTTTGTTCACCATTATAAATTTTCCTTCTAGGGTCATTTCTGAAAATGAGGTTGACTTGTTCTATCTCAATGTCAAAAATGTACCATGGTACATGATAAGGCATTGTATTTATAGACATTTGACATGATGCTGACAGTATGTATCTGTAAATAGAGATTTATGGTGCATAAGCAATACATTCTGAGGGGCTTGTGATGGTTTGGTGCATGCATTTAATATAATGTTAAAAGATAGATCCTTTACTGGAAATTCAGGTTAAAGCCTGGTACAGATACAGTATGTCACCTCAGTCTGTTTTATTTTGAAATTTTATGGGTCCTCAAGGTCAGTGCTTTGTTTTTGTGTAAATATATGGTTTCACCTCAAACTAAAAATTATTAAAAGGCATAAATCTATAGATTTAAATGCCTACAGTGAACTACTTTAAATGAAATATTGCAGTTTTCAGTTATTTATTTTGAGAATCACACATGTACAGCCCAGGTGTACAGAATAATACAACATAATCTATGGAAAACACCAGACAAATGTGTATTTTTTAAAATTGATTTGTAAAAGCAGTGTTAAAAGAAATATAAATTATGAAGTAATGTTGTTAACTATTATTATTATTACATTAATAATTTCACTTTTATAAATACCCTATTATTTCAACTATTTGTTGGACTAATATATTCATTTTATGCCCATTTAAATAATAAATTCACATGTAAAATCTTATTTTAATCAATTGTTGAAATGTTTTTTAACTATTTCCATGGCACTTTTGTGCTTTTGACCACTAAATTGATCGGATTATTTATTTATTTATTTTATAAACCTCGAATGCTGGTTCAAATACTGTAGAATTGACCTTAATTTACAGTAAGTGGACAATCATAATTTATTGCTACCCTCAAAGCATTTCATTATAAATAATTATGGCCAAATTCCATGAGGAGAGAAAGGAGCTTCACTGTTAACACACTGGTTTACAGAGAGACAACTGTCCTCTAAAAAGACAAGGATCCTAAAATAGATCAACAGCAAAGTCTTATAATAAGTAGTGTGAATTGCTGTGACAGTCCCAAGACAATTCCCAGTCCCACAGCTTCATAACAGTCCAGTCTCATAGTAACGCAGCAACAATGAATTCCACTACAGCTCCAGTTATGGTACATTGTGTTTGTCATAAAATCAATGAAGAAAACTGAACAGACTCATAAAATGTGTGATGAAACACTCAAAACAGAGCCAGTACATAGATCTGATTTCACACTTGGAGTCAGGATTGCAGGAGTTTTCACCACACAACGTGTTAAATATAGATGAAGAATCCTTTCATCAGGGCTCACAGAGAGAGGTTATGAGTTGTTTTTTATGCTTTGTGTCCTGATATGATCCTGACCCCAGCTAATCTCAAGGTTTTTCAAATAGTTTTGTTTTTCCTGAGCCACCTCTCCCAAAGGGGTCAATGAAGGAATGTCCAAACAAACAAACAAACAAACAAAAGGTGTAAAAATGGTCATAATAATCACCTTTATTGGCCAAATATGTGGCACACAAGGAATTTGTTTCCGGAACAGAACCGAGGCAGCCATCTGTGGCGTCAACGCAACTGATGGCTCTGACCATCGGCAACTTGGGGGTTCAGCGTCTTGCCCAAGGACACTTCGCCCCCATAAGAAAAACTTATGAGATATTATACCAATTATACTATGAAATATTGAGTATTTTTTATTTTTATTATCCCTAACTTCTCATGTATTTACGGTGCTTAGAATCAAAACTGTATACTGTTTCATTTCTGCATTTGGCTGCAGTACTAAAGCAGAAATTCATAAAACACTGTTCATTTCTTCCTTGGAAATCATCCAGTCCAGCCTGCTGACACAAACCTAACTGGTAAGTACAGTAAGCTAGTTTTGTTGTTGGTCATTTATCAACCAAGTGCTTGGTTTGAAAAGCACTTCTGTTGCCAAAAAGCCTGCAGGACTGAAAGCATGAAAAACCACTCGGCTGGAGTGATTCAATAGGTACATTTTACATTAGAGGTCTGACAGATATACTGCAGGTTTGTGAAGGGTATTTTTGAATTATACTGAAGCAAATAATGGCTGATTTGATTCATGTATAACCCTCAAATATTTTTAGGATCACAAATTCAGATAGAAAATCCAGCAGAAAAGAAAAAATAAAAGTATTCAATTGGTCAAATTTGGAGCTAAAACAATCCAAGCAGGGTCACTGGACTTCTACAGGTCAAGTCATCTTATGTTGAATGGCGACTTTAAATGGCCCATAGGAATGAACATGAGTGTGTGTGGTTGTGGTGGTCTTGTGATAGACTGGCGACCTGTCCAGGGTGGACCCTGCCGCTCGCCTAGTGTCATTTGGGATTGGCTCCAGCCCCCTGTGACCCTCGTCAGGACAATCAGTATACAGTAGATAATGGATGGATGGATGCAAACAGATGCTCCCCTGTATATAAAAAAATAAAAGTACAAGGTCACATTGTTCACTTTAGGTCCGTGATCACTTCATAGAGCAAACTGACTCAGTGCAATGAAGTGAAACAGGAAGCTGCTGGCAGATGTGGCCTGTTGCGGTGACACTGCAAAGTTCACTAATAAATGTCTTAACATGCTAAAGAAGGATGCAGGCTGTTATCTCTTAGTCCATGAACAGAACATATAGACTGTGTGATTAGCGTTTGAGAGTTGGATACGGACAGTGTGCTTGGGTTTGTGGTGTATGCTCATCCTCTGCCCTACTTTCTGACTGATGATGCTGCAGAAAGGAGGCTGAGAGGGAATATCCCACAATGCCACGCTGCTCGTCCCCAGTGCCAGATGGATGAATGAACGCAGACGGACATGCATGTAGATGGATGGATGATGGATGCTGCAGTAGGGTGGGATAGTTTTTTTTTATTATCGCGGCCCCCAGCAGCAGCTCGCGCTTTGGCTGCTTTTAAACACTATGTCACGTCACAACAAATCAAATTCCCGACTTCCGGCTATGTTTTTAAAAATAAAAGGTTTTCAAGGTAAGGGTGCAGTAGTTCAAGGTTTAATGTTCGGTGTGTTCAACACTAAAAACCCGAACTGCTCTCATTCTAATAAACCAGTGCTGTTGACCAATTAACACACTGCATTCATAGCTTATAAGAGTTTGCTGTCTTAACAAGGAAAAAGTTATGTTTGAGTTGAGACTGATAATCAAAATTAAATCACTTATTTTTAGAATCAAATTGATGCCTATAAGGCTTTAAGCTTGTTAAATGTTACCAACAAATAAATTACAGATCTGTTGTTTTAAATAGCCTAATCCTTTACAAATGGGTGAGAAATCGAACTTTCTGATTATGTACAAAATTTTGCATGACTGACTGGACGTTTGGGTTCACTGTCCTGCTGGAGAATACGTTAGGGACTGAGCAGATCCCTCCTCGATGTTAGTATGTGATGGATAAGAAACTAAACATCAGAAGTGCCTAAAACCTTTACACATTACTGTGCATATATAGACAAACGATGTTTTGGCTATGTCAAACAAACTATTTCTGTTCAAGTGCTCCTCTTCACTCGGCTGTAATAAATCATGGATTTTTGAATGCTTTATTTATTTTTTAAAATCATGTTTAGCAGTCCAGTAAACACAAATGATAAAACAGTGGACATCTCAACAGCAGTGACAACATTAAATATCACCACTATTCACCCTCCAACCCAGTAGCACGAGAAAACAAAACAAATAAAGAATAAATCAATAATTACACCAATAAATACGTAAAAAGTATATGGAACTATTTTTTCTAAATATCGAGCTTTTGTTTTGAAGTGTAAGACGCTCCACTTCCTGGCAGACGTTTGGAACTTGACGTAGCACGCTGCTAGTCGGTCCGGGCTCGCGCGGCTAGGTCTCTTCTTC